GTATGCCCATGTGCATTATTTCGAAGTCAGGGTTCAAACTTTCTATTTTTGAAAGACTCAATTTTCAAATAATGCCTATAGGCGTTATTTCGCGCCTATACGGTAATTACCCTGACCTCTCACATGATAAAATACGTTATTAACTCGTACGTAATTAAACCTTTGTATAAAATGAGATTAAATTAATTAGTAATTCAAATATCTTTCTCTCTTTTAAAAATACTGGATTAAAAAACAAATAAATAAATAAAATAAAAATAAAAACTAAAACGTTCCTTTATAAGCTAGCGATTTTCATTGTGATAATCCAACACTCGTAAAAAATTTGAAAATCTATCAAAAGAAAAGCTCCAATTACAAAAGCCTCAAAATACCCAAAAAGTATGACGTGGCTAATCGATTTAAGGATTACATTAACGACAACTTCGATCTTGATATTTCTGAAGATAAAGCGGGAATTATTATTCAAATAAAGACACAAAATAATCCTTTTTTTTTTTTTTTAGATGATATCTAGTATTCAAACCGTCATTTAGGCCATGACAAATTTTATGGTTTTGTGAAAGAAATTTGCACCACTACAGGTATCAATTACACCGGCAGAAGAATCGTCAATCACTCTTTGCACAAGAATACAGCTCAAAAACTGGTGTGGATGTCCAAGCTGCTATGGATATTATGAAGCATCGTACGGGTAGAGGCATATAATATGTACCGCACACAGAATAAATTATATTGCAAAACTTGTAGTACTTGAATACGTATTTTTATTTTACGTTAACATTTATAGTACAATATATACCTTTTTATTTTACAAGAATAATGAAGCAAATATAACCGACGAAAACAATGAAGGTGATGGTGACAGCAACGCTAGTGATGAAGTTAACTGCGAAAATAATGAAATTAATGATGAATCTGATAATGAAAATATTGATAACACGAAGACTCTTTTATTTATTCCGCAAGCAACTCAAGATGATACTGCTCAAGGAATTTGTTCTAATGGTTTAGCTTTACAAATTGTAAAGTTAAAATTTTTCTAAGCCATTGAATAGATTTTTTTTTTAATTTGTAGAAAATTTCAATGTATATATTAAATTGCTGTAATAACTGCCTGGGTTGTTATTAAAGGGTAGATCCTTAAAAACTACTAAAATACTTTCCAGTTATGTGTGTGCACATAATAAAAAAATCTGGTATTTTACTGTATTTAAAAATCGAATCCCCGACATTTTTTGAGTACCAAGTAGGTTTAAACTGCCGCTTTTCATATTTTCACTTTTTCGTGTATCTGCATTTCTGGCTATTTTCAGGAACTTGGATGGCTGTTTGAAACTTTGGAAAAGTTTCCATGAATTTGGTGCGTCTTGATCTTGTTCTCGTACTGTGCTGCGCTTTTAAGAACAAGACTTATTTGTATAGAGATTAGTAATGCAGGCGGAACTTGAGCATTTTTTCCGTGTCCCTGGGCTGTACCGTAACTGGGTTTAACCTTTTGCTTTAAATTACGACTTGCGTATATGCCGATAAAACTTATTCAAGTTATAACTTTTTATATATGCCGTAACTCAATTTTGTATATCGTAATCTGGAATTTTTATATGCGACGATAAATTATATATTGAAGTTGATTGGATAGAAAATTTTCTTTTTCGGATGAATCATTTTCTTGAGATGTAACAATTTCATTTTGCTTTTGGAGCGGCTTTGATAATTGTTGATTGACATGTAAAAAATTTATTGTCCAGATAATGCAAATATAATTATGATCATTTAAAAACAGCGTTATTTCTATCTTTGTTTACATTCATTTTAGAAAGAACTTTGTTAATAGACAATAATTTCAAGAAATAAATTATTTTTTTTACATTTTAGTGATATTCGATCGATTATTCATGATAATACGTACTGTACATACTAGAAACTAAGGGTGCTCTCAAGCATCTCTCTCTCTCTATGTGAATGGCTAATGATCACGGTAATCCTTACGATAATTTTGCTAAAGATTCAGCGGTTATTAAATTTGTCACTTGATGAAATACACATATGGGATTCCGTCTCGCTGCTCATGTGATCCACAGTCGGTTCCGGACACCTACCAACACGTGATTTTTGCACCTATCAAATATAAATCAACCAATCATAAAAAACTCAAACCCTAACGCTACTAGGTAGGTGTAAATCGGTAGGTGTCCGGAGACTTTCCTGTTCCTAGCATCGTCATAGGCAGACATTCGTATGATTGACTAAAAGAAAACAACAAAAAAGAAGGATATAGAAAGTTTTATTAGCGTTGTAGGACTCCACTATTAAAAATAATCAAAATTCTTTTTTGTTTTAGAGAAGTTAGCATAATAGCGACTTCTTAAAGTTAGATAAAATTAGGTTATCACCATGCTAACTTCTCTAAAACAAAAAAGAATTTGGATTATTTTTAATAGTGGAGTCCTACAACCCTAACAAAACTCTCTATATACTTCTTTTTTGTTTATTCGTAGTAGTTTTATTTTTTTTAAAAAGTATTTTAAACTGTATAAATAATGTAAAATTAAATTGATTTAAACAGCCAATCATATGAAAGTCTGCCTATGAACTCAAACCCCTTAGCATGACCGTAACCCAGCAGTAACGACATTTTTTGTCACATTATAAATCGAATTTATAAAACTTAAAATTTTAATTACTGTATAAAATTTTTGAATTTGCCTAATTTTAACTACTCATAATTTATTTTTAATCTTTACTCAAATTTTAAAATTAAAATTAGAATTAATATTAAAATAGAGTTAGGTTTAGAATTAGAATTAGAGTTAGGGTTAAAGTTAAAATAGGGTTTTTTATAGTGCTGAATATTTTTACTTAGTGCATCAAGTGTGATTATTTAAGTTGTTTTTGAAGTTAAAATAAGAAGGTGATTATGTTAACAGGTACAAGTTAGAATATCCTAAAACTTTTATTGCGTAAAAAAAGAAAAAGCCATGCACATTTGAAATTATTCAGTGAACTCTATTATCTAACTTTACTTACTATAGCATGAAATATTTATAAATTTCGGATTTATTACTAATACTGTAAAAAGTATTTTTGTTTTGTTTATACCAGGTCTTTGAAAAGTTTTTTGCCTACCATCTATTGAATTAGTTTGAAATTTGTTTCAATGTTTTTTAACCATTTCTTTTTGCTGCAGAGGATTATAAAACTTTAAGAAGGTCAAACGCCTATACCAGAGTAGTATTGATATTAGATACTTATATTTATTATGTTGTATAATTAATAAAATAATAAATAAGCTACCATATCCTGCCGTGAATGAGCACCCACCTTTTGCAATTTTCATATTCAAGTTTCTGATGATGGATCTGTATTATTTATTATTTTGGTACTATTCGAATCAACTTATCAAAACGATTCGAACAAAATTATGCAGATCCGATCACTAGATCATGAGAAACTTGGATATGAAAATTGCAAAAGGTGGGTGCTTATTCACGGCAGAATACGGTAACCTCAAATATTTTTTTTATATTGTTCGATAATTTTTAATCAGTTTCATTTTCTTTATTTGATTCGTCATCTTCAATATTATTGTTGTCAAGAACTGTTATAGAAAGTTGTGCATTATGCAAATTTTCTCACACATGGTCTCGTCAGCTTCAATTAATGGATATGGATTTCATTGAATCTTAATTGAAAATTATTAATGTATATCGATATACTGTATATTTTTAAAATGTGATAAACATAATAGCGATATTATCTATTCATCATCTTTCTCGAGAGCCATACAATTTCGATTTATCGATTTGAAAATTATAATTACATTAAGATTTCAGCATTATCCTTAAGTTTTTGTAAACTACGTTTTGAGATCTTCAGGAATTCATATTCTGCTCTTGAAGTTTCCGTTATTTATACGGGTTAAACACTCAATATATGTTTTTTTATTATTCAAATTCATTAATTTAGAATTACTTGTTACTATGTATAAACGGACATTGTCATATAAACATATCATCATAAACGACTAATACATTGCATCAAATTTTTCTGTAAATGATTTTTCTCCGTACGTAACTGATTTTGGTAGTCAAACTAGGCTCGTGCCTCACTCAATGGATCGGAGGCAAAATTTTAATTAGTCGGAAAATTGAATACGTAAACTGGAAATGCTGCCATCTTTTTTCATACGGTTATAGAATTGCTCTGATTGGGCTAAAGTTTAGAATTCGCATTTCGCATAACGAAATTTTTAAGTCATTCTTCGATTAACGCATTAATCACTCAATTAATCGCAATATTTTGTGCGAAAGCTGCTTGAGAACACCTATAATGTCATCTTATTCATACAGGTTTGGTATAAAGAACGATTTATTAATCAAAGCATATTTAAATGAGTTATTTATCTCCTTAATTTCATTTTCGTAAAAAACACAAAATCCCGACAATATTAAAATTCTGATGCTTGACAGAGTTGTTTTCGGGATTTTTGAATGTCGGAGTTCTGAGATAAAACCTTAATTTAATAGATGAATATATTTATTAATCAACGTATATTTGAAAATAAGCTATCTGAGTTTACTATTATCAGTTATATGATGTCTCATTAATTTTACATTATCCACTCAAATGCCTTTATTTCATCTTCGTTGATTCCAAATCTTATTTTCTCCTATCCTTTTCGCACCTTTAGTTGCCCCAAATCAATTTTCATAGCACCATAGTATTATACTGTACCTTCACTTTTTGCAGGTTTTAAATATTGCCCAAATGTTTCTTTTTTTCACCTTTAGCTGTCCCCAAATCCATCATAATAACGCTTAACATGTATCTAATACACATTTGATTTTCAAATAATGTTCCGCAGCTGCCGATCCTAACTGTGTTACACAAAATATTAAAGGGTCTGATGTATAAAGCGAATTATTAAATACATTTAATAATTTACTCTTAAAGACAAACATTTCAACATTGTTGCGTCTTAAACAGGAACAAAAAAAATGAGTCTTTGGATAGACAAGTATCGTCCTACAACGCTCGAAACCTTGGCATTCAATAAAGAATTATCGCGAAAGCTTAAAAATTTGGTGAATATATGACAGAAACTTATTCAAATATGAAAATTGAAACGCTACAACACTTTATTCTCTTGAGAATTTATTATGTTTGTGCGACGCGTAATTATTATTAACAGGTTTTTATGATTATTCCTTTTTTCAGACAGACTCTGACTTCCCTCATTTACTTATATACGGCCCCTCAGGTGCTGGCAAAAAGACGCGTGTTTTGTGTATTTTAAAGGAATTATTTGGTGATGGCGCTGAAAAGGTTTTATAATATCATAAGTTCTTGTAAACTCTTTTTCTATTATTATTTTTATACTAAATTCATTCTACTGTTCATTTGAATAGATTAAAATTGATCAACGATCTGTTGAAACGCCAAGGAAAAAAATAGAAATAAATATCATATCGAGCAAATATCATATTGAGTTAACACCCAGGTAATAGCTGTTAATTACGCGCAATTTTCCTTTGAATCAATCTGCTATAATTAAAATGACAAATTCGATACCTCTTTATGTATAATAGCGATGTCGGCATTTATGATAAGATAGTTTTTCAAGAATTATTAACTGAAATCGCTCAAACTCAACAAATAGACGCGGGTGCTAAACAACGATTTAAAGGTAATAAATTTACGATTTAATTGTTGAAATAATAATCTTAACTGTTAATATTTATATATCTTTGATCATAGTTGTTGTAATAAATGAAGCTGATGAAATCACGCGTGATGCTCAAGCTGCACTTCGACGTACAATGGAGAAATATATGTCGAATTTGAGAATTATTCTTTGTTGCAATTCTACGAGCAGAATCATTGAGCCAATTCGCAGTAGATGCATGCTTTTAAGAGTGCCATTGCCTTCAATTGACGAGGTTGATCTTTATTTGAATGCAATATGTAATTGTTAATGTTCCGGAACTAATCATTTTCTGTAAATAGATTTCTAAAGCCCTTCAACATATTGCATCTAGCGAAAATATACGTTTGAGCAAGGTTTTGACTGATAAAATTATCAAACAAACTCAAAGAAATCCAAGAAAGGCTATTTTGACTTTTGAAGTTATGGCTTCTCAAAAGTATGCAATATCCTCTATATGAGTTAACAGTTTGATTGGTTGAGTATTAACTTTTTATTTTTTTTCTCACGACTAAGCAAAAACTTGAATGATAATGTTCTAATTCCCAAAGTTGATTGGGAACAAGTGATTGACGATATAGTTGAGAAAATCGTAAAGACGCAAGCAGTCGAGACGTAATTTTGCATTCTACATTTTATATTTTAATCCTTGATCAAGTAAAAGCAACTCGGCTAAAATAATAATTTCCTTTTGACAACAGCTTAAGTACAGTTAGACAAAAGATCTATGAACTTCAGTCTCACTGTATTCCGCCGTCGCTCATTTTAAAGGTGTGTTATCATTTTTTACTTTTTTTGTCATACATGAGTGGTGCCAAGGGGAGACCTGTAAATCTGGTTTTTAAAATCTATCCTGCCGAGCTTTGCCTATAATTATATTATAATACGAATTGAGAGCACGGACTGGTTATTCTACTCGATAATACACGATTAATTACGTGACGACTGCATAAATTGTGTTTATTAAACGACTAGGACGATTCTTCAATTACGTATTATCATAATGCATCAGTAGCTGAGTATTTTAAGACAAAAACAAGATCTACAGATATTCTCTGGCAGCACTAATCTTACATATTAAAACTCACAATATCTTTATTTTGCTTACATAGAAAATAGCATTGGACCTTTTCACGAATAAAAAGGTCAAATCCAAAGCAAAGCTAGACATCATTAATAGCGCAACACACTATGTATGTGATTTTGGTTTACATTCCTCGCTTTGTTTTTTTTATAACTGTATTTACGTTAATAAGCTATACAAAACAATGTAGGATCATCGTCTTCGAACTGGGAGACACTCAATATTTCATCTTGAAGCCTTTGTATCATCTGCGATGAGTGCAATCTTAAGGTTTTTTTTTTTTAATTTAAATAATAACCTAATATTATTTTTAAATTAATATTTTTCTTTTCTTTTTCGTTTAGCTCTAATTTTTAATATTCTGTTTCACCGATGAAATATCGAGGTTGTGGTTAGGGTTGGTAAAGTCTTTAGGTCCGGGACTTTAGGACCTGGTCTTTAAACTTGGTCTTTAAAGACCAAGTCCAAATTTAAGGACCTAGGGTCCTTAGGTCTTTAAAGTCTTAATATACAAATTTATAATTGCATAATTCTGGACAGCCTAATCAATATATACAGTATAATTTCAATAAAGTTTTAAATGCATAGTTTAAGATCATAATCATTTATTTAATGTATATAGTTCACATATTGTTATTACACATTCTAACGCTAATAGGCAAATGTCAATATGTACAGTACATTGTAAAGGGTAGCGTGAACTAACCGCAGCAAAAAACGTGATCTAAGCCGGGACCTTAATGTGTATTGAAAAAATGAGTATGAATTACTCATCGTTAGTCATAGATAGATTATATTGCTTAGAGATTCTAATCGTAGCAGAAAAGCCCCAAAACTCTCTGTAATGTATAAATAACCATCGATTTCATGTATCCGAAAACAAGTGAAGTGTTATAATAATAAAGACCATCTAATGATAAACTCCGGGGATCCTAGTAGCAATAGGATCCTTGGTTTCGGACTAAATCTTCCACGCCTACTTTCGAGTAGATTTTGATTTTTGTTGTGTCTTAGGTTGCGAATACCAGTCACCCCAAATCAGGGACGATGATTTTCTGCGGTGATAAATAGTCAATTCCGTCCGTGATAAAGTAGTTCTGCGCTCCAAATTTATGAATTCTGTATTAATCCGTGCATTAAAATTTATGAATTCTGCGTTTATTAGTATTATTTATTTCCTGGGGGAGTAGAAATTATAACAGAGGTTACCGATGATCATAGCACATGGATAGCCCGAAGGGTCATCCACGTCGAGGTAGGACCAGTGTTCGAAATTTCAGGCTTAATTACTGTTCTCATGAGAACAGTATAATAACTATGAGTGTTCTCTAGTTGCTGTTTATGTTCTCACTTATGCTTACTAAAAAAAAAACTACATACTAACTACCTAATAATATAGCCTTTATCATCTAAGTATTATTTTATTCATCTATCAGGTAGTTTCAAGATTAAGGAACCCAGCGATATTTTCATGGTCATCTCACTACATGAGTATCGTATAAGCACGAAATAACTTGCAGGGGTGTGATTTCGAATTTTGACCTAAATTAAGCTTAATTCGAGCCATTATTCAGAATAACACCCTGCGCATTATTTCGCACTTATACAGTAAATAGTTAGGTTAGGGTTAGGGTTAGGTGATAGGATAGTTTAGGCTAATTATTTAGTGCTAGTAAACAAATGATGTCACTGCATGATTTCACTTGTGTGTGATGATCACTGGGTGGGTTCTGTGTTCTTGAAGTGTCCCCATCTATCTACCACTTACGAAAACACTTTTTATTTTACTGTTCTCAAAAAATTTTTAATAGTGAACAGTAAACCATTTTTTACTGTTCATAAATTTATAATCATGTTCTCATAAGAACTCTGAGAACACTAATTTCAAACACTGGGTAGGACCGTCTATATTATACAAGCAATCTTATTGATAAAAAATTTTTTTTCAATACCTTTTTAGCAGATAAATGTGGTTAAAAGAATTTATTTTTTTTTATAAATAGAGATTAGGAAGAAAGAGGAAAAAGTGAATTAAGCAAACTTGAAGCTTTTGCTTTGCCTTACAACATATTCACTTAAACCAACTTAATTTAACTGCCTTCATATTTTTTAAAATCATGTCTGAAATTAAGAAATGTGGACACTGCCAAGCCACCAAGTCAAATAGATTTAATTCTTTGAAAGCAAGTAAATGGGATGAGGCTAAATGTAGAGGCTTAATACAAGTAAATTAAAAAATGAGTTTTATCTTATATAATAAATGTTATATAAGTTATGTTGAAAATCTGCTGCTAAAAAAGTAAAAGTTTCAATTAAAGAAGTAGATTTTGTAGATATGGTTAATCTTATTGGAGCTATCAAGACAATTGTGAAAATTTTTTATGAAAGAGAACATACAATGAGCAAAGGTTCTATATATTTATATGAGGAACTACAAGAAGTGTTTCAAGCTAATCAGAGTTTAAAAGAGTTTCTTAATTAACTTTATTTGGTGGCTAGACCTCTTGAATGTATTAAGCAGACCATGGGCTGTATAAAAAATTAATAGTTCATATTTGTTATCTTTTTATATCATTAAATAATACAAAAATTAATGCTTTAAGTTTGATTTAGCATATTATTTGGATTTTGTAGATATAATTAATAAAGGTTTGGATACAATAGCAAATCTTGACATAATGACAATATCAAGATCAGTAAATCATAGAAAAAAAAAATTGCAGACACTTATAATAAATATGTAGAAAATACTTTTTCAAAATATTTGGACAAAGCTTTTGTATTAAATATTAATGACTATTACAATATTTATATCCCACGACAGTCTGATACTACTAGTATGTTTTATCTAATACATATGGTGCCAATTATGGCTAATCCATGCTTAATATCAGCAATATTATATAATAGAGCATTTAATCCAAAATTTATTGATAATGAGCTTATAATAAAATATCTTAACAAGTGGTTTATTATAAATCTTAGTATTCTTTATCATGAGTATTGTTAAAATTTTAGAGGTGAGTATTCTAATAATAAGCTTATTGAACAACTAACATTTGCATAGTTATAATAATAGATTGGTAGAAAAAAAGAGTGACCAATATATACAAAATGTTATTTTTTTTTAATTTTGTTAGAAGTAATTTGAAAAGGGTAGAAGATTATACAAAAGCACTTTAAATTGTGTATAATCAAGAATTGATGCAAGAATATTTTTTCAACCATGTAATCTTTATCGCTATAAATTGGCCTGGTCAATTCTTTATTCATAAAGCTATTGCACATCGAATTCTTCTTGGAAATGAGATACAGTAATTTCTTTATTTGTTATGTTGTTTTTGCCTATTATAGGATATCTTTATGTAATGTTAAATAGTTGTAAACTTGTTTTTAAACAAAATTCATATCTATTTAATGATATTTACAAGAGCATATTTGAAAAAAAAAAGAATCTTGGCAATAAGCCATGGCCATGACAAATCAATTTAATACTTCATCTTATATATATAGCATAGCTTGACATAGCTAATATACAGTAGTTTATTCAAAGTTTAGTAATACATGCAAGAATATTGAATTTTTATATTTAACTAATCTTTTGAGTAATTTAATTCTCTTAGTTCTTGACATTTATACAATATATCATCAAGAAGTAGCTTGTAAGAAAACTTGCTTATATTGTTGAAGCAATCTATTTTTTTGATTCAATTAAAGAAATTATAAGCATGCTTTTTTAATGTTTTTTTGATGTATTTTTTTAGATAAATACTAATTATCTAATAATGAATATGATTACTAATTATCTTGCAGAAACAGTTTATAGTATAATTTGATAACATATAGCTAAATTCTTTATAGCAAATTAATTGCAAAAAGAAGCATGCTTTATATTCCAAAATCTAGAAGATATTGCTTTTTATCAATATTTCATAAATTCTATGAAATACTCTTACAAACCAAAGTAATTATATATATATATATTTTTTAAAGTTAAGGAGACTTTTTTAGCCTGAAAGCTTTTATTAGGATTTGAAATAGTGTTTTATATGCAATTACAATGATGGTACATCAAGCCACATATGCACTTTTTGAGTGCCTAATTTAAATAGTCTGCCCGAAGGTTCTATACTATTTGCCGTACCTGGTTACAACTGCCACCGGTTAACCATCTAACCCTGGGTTTCCTTATTATTTATATGGATTTTGATATCATCCTGGCAAAGGATTACTGACTGCCTTAGGACTTACCAACCATTTCTGGCTAATCTATCCTTGAGGTAAACCTAATAGAGCAGTACATGTTTCACACATGTATTCATCTGCATGTTTCTATAACTTCTTCCTAATTAGTACATATTGGCCTGCCTTTCCGTATTCGTATCTCATGCCACCTTTTGGGGTGCTGC